GTGAGGCAGCACAGGAGGCACTCACTCATCTCTGCCAAGAAATTTGGAAGACAACTATCTGGCCAACTGATTGGAAGAGATCCGTATTTGTGCCCTTTCCAAAGAGAAGTGACTCAACAGAAGGCGGAAATCATCGTACAATCTCTTTGATATCCCACGTGAGTAAATTTTTGCTAAAGGTAATACAGAAATGGCTACAATCATACATTTACAGAGAACTCCCAGAGGTTCAAGCCGGATTCAGAAGAGGCTGTAGTACAAGGGATATCATTGCTGATGTCCGATGGATCTTGGCTAAAAGCAGAGAATATCAGAAAGATGTCTGGCTGTACTTTATTGACTATGCAAAGGCTTTCGATTGTGTGGATCATGACAAGCTATGGACAACACCGCGAAGCATGAGTATTCCGGAACACTTAATTATGCTCATGAGGAATCTGTACCTGGACCAAGAGGCAATTGTTCAAACAGAACATGGGAACACTGAATGTTTTACAATTAAGAAAGGTGTGTGACAGGGTTGTATTCTTTCACCATACTTATTCAACCTGTATGCTGAGCAAATAATACGAGAAGCTGGGTTCTATGAAGAAAAACGTGGCATCAGGATTGGAGGACGACTCATTAACAACCTGTGATATGCAGATGATAGATACAACCTTGCTTGGTGAAAGTGAAGAGGATTAAAAATATTTACTGATGAAGATCAAAGAGCACAGCCTTTGGTATGGATTACATCTCAATGTAAAGAAAATAAAAATCCTCACCACTGGACCAATAAACAACATTCTTATCAATGGAGAAAAGAATGAAGTTGTCAAGGACTTCATTCTCCTTGGATCAACTATCAACACTCACAGAAGCAGCAGTCAAGAGATCAAACGACGTATTGCATTAGGCAAATATGCTGCACAAGACCTTTTTAAAGTGTTGAAAAGCAAAGATGTCAACTTGAGGACTAAAGTGCGCCTGACCCAAGCATGGTATTTTCAATAACCTCATATGCATGCGAAAGCTGGACAGTGAATAAGGAAGACCATAGAAGAATTGATGCTTTTGAGTTATAGTGTTGGAGGAGAATATTGAAAGTGCCATAGGCTGCCAAAAGAATCAACAGATCTGTTTTGGAATAAGTGCAGCCATAGGGCTCCCTGGAGGCCAAGATGGCCAAACTTTGTCTCTCATACTTTGGACATATTGTCAGAAGGGACCAGTCGCTGGAGAAGGATATCATGTTTGGTCGTTTGGAGGGTCAGAGAAAAAGAGGAAGACCACAATGAGATGGATTGGCCAAGTGGCAGCATCGATGGACTCAAGTGTGGCAACAGTAGTGAGGTTGGCCCAGGATCGGGCAATGTTTCGTTCTGCTGTGCATAAGGTCACTACGGGTCGGTACCGACTCAATGGCACCTAACAACAACAACAACAATAACTGTTAAATACTTGTATAGAAACACTAGGTGTTAATTTAAACTCTTCATGAAAGATTTGAAGATTATTATCTTTGTCAAAGAAAATAAGTGTCAATTAGGAGTTGAGAGGTTTTGTCTTCTCTTGATTATATAACTCAATGTCTACAAGATTATCTTTCCTTGACCATCTTCTTCATCCAATATAACTAAATATTCTCTAGTTGTCCTCAACGCTTTTGCAAACCTCAGTTCATTGGGTTCTTTGGCCTTCCTAATAATGTTTTTATATCAGTAAGCCACACTCGTGTGATCATTATCCATTTCCTTCTCTACATTGCAGCACTTTCACACCATCTGAACCCAGAAAACTCCCTGTGCAATAAACAGATTTCTTTAGGTAACTCCTCATCTTTCTCAATCAGTTATTACTAAAGATTCAGAGCAGCATTTCTGAAAGCTTTCCGATACTACTGAGCTATCTTATCTTATATCTAGGCTGTGAGATTGCGTACATTTTTTAACTGGGGATTTTTTTAATGAACTATCTATTCTAAAAGTTCATTTTTCATATTCTTCTCTCTCTCTCCCTCTCTCTCTCTCTCCCCACAGCCTACAAACAGTTGAATTCCACCTGAAATTTCTTGGTTTAAAAAATGAAACCTTAATTTGCTTAAGGTTACCAGTTACTCAGATACCAAATAATTAAATTTCCATTACACACACATACACTTTGTTTTTGTCTTTGGAATGAAATCTGAGAAAGGCATTATGGCACAAATACACGCTGCTCAGTCAGTCACTCTCAGAGCCCTAAGCATGTCTCTCCCCTCAGCCCTGATTTCAAAAGCTCAGACAGTACCAAAATGATTCTCTGCTAGAGTTTAACATAACAATTTCACTTAAATAAATGAATTAAAATAAGTCTGCCTTAGTCCATAATGTTGTAACATTAAAATGTCAAAATCTTTTACCCTTTGGGATCAAGAAGGTCTCTAACTTTTTCATTATAAATTTCCATGTAGGACACTTCTACTTTAAAACTCTGCTCTTCATTTTCCTCTTTCTGAGTTCGTTCAAAGAGGCCACTGCAAAGCCTTGGGATTAATCCAGGTTGGTCAGCTGTGCCCATCATGGTATAAGACTTTCCAGATCCTAAAATTTGAAAATAATATTTATTACAGTCTCTTTGAAAGGTTAAGTATATAATCCTTCCCTTGATGATAATAAATTACTGGCAATTAGCATAATGCAGTAAGAAACATGCCCAAGTATAATAAGAATCACTGCAGAAGCTTTCTTATTGCACATGAGAAAGTCAAGAAGAACAAAAAAATGTAATACAACAAGGTAAAAGAGGATACAAAGCCTTCTTTTGTCATTGTTATGCTTTAAAAAAATTATTTGAAACAAATGAAAAGTGAGTTTTGAGAAGTTTTCAAAACCAATTATTTACCACATCTGATTAATAATACGGTGATGGTTCCCACTACTTTTGTGTCTATTCCTAACTACACAATACAAAAAAATACAGACTAACACTATTCACCCCACAGTAAATTAACTCATTATTACACTTTGGCAATAGTATGAAAACCAAAGAATAATCTTCTTTTTCTACCATAAAATTATTTTCCCCATTATAAAAGAAATACATATTCATGAAAGAAAGTTGAGAAAACAAAAAAGAAAGAAAAAAAAAAATACTGAAACCACTCAATCTTAATCATCCAAGGACTCTAACTATTGACACTTAGGTATAATTCCTTTCCCATTTTTAACTGCAGTCATTTTGTAAACATGCTTTTAGTCACAGAAGTTACTACTTTTGTCACTAAACACTTTACACTTTACCTTTATAACACCTAAAACTAATAACCACTTCCTATGTACCAGGCCTTTTCTAAAAGCTTTCACACATTAACTCACCAAGACAACTCTATAAGAAAAGTTTTCTATTATCCATGGAGTCACTGGGTGACACAAGCAGTCAATATGCTTGGCTGCTAATCAAAAGTTTGGAGGTTCAAATCCACCCAAATGTATCTTGGAAGAAAGACCTGACAACCTGATTCTGAAAAATCAGCCCTTGAAAATCCTTGGAAGTTCGGTTCTACTCTGACACACATATGGCTGCCATGAGACGTAATCAAATTGACAGCAACTAGTTTATTATTATCTTCCTTTCACAGATAAGGAAAGTGAGGCACAGAGCGTTTAAGTAATTTGCTCTACTTTCACAGCTAGTAAATGGCAGGACCAGAGTGAAACTAAAATATGCTAACTCCAAAGCCTATGTCCTTATAACCAGGATACAAGTTGCCTTTAGAAGCCACTACAAGCATTTTTCTGTGACAAATAATTTTCAACTGGGCAAGTTATGTTATGCTCTTATAAAAGTGACTAATTCACACTAAACAAATGTTCCTTATCAATGATAACTGATACGATGTTAATAAATACGTTCCTTTTGGTATCTTCTCAAGTATGATCTTTAAAGCTAAGATGAAATAACCATTAGGCATGGTTAGTAATATGTTCAATGGTCACAGCACTATAATGTATTGTCTAAGAACATCACTTAAAAAGAAAAAAAATCTAAACCTAATTTTATTATACCCATCTTAAAAATGTACAGCCTAATTTTGCCTCATCTATAGTATCTTCCTATATATCAAAATAACAAAAATTAAATCAGTATTATGTGTGTCAGAAAATAGTTTTACTTTCTCCTTCACTGAAAGTTATTTGCTTAAGTAATCTCATAGTAGTAAATATTACCAGTTTGTCCATAGGCAAAGATACAAGCATTGTAGCCATCAAAGGCATTCTGAAGAATATTCTCCCCAAGGCACTTGAAGACATCATCTTGACCTGAAAGTTGGATAGAAGAATAGAAAAAAAGTAGGTGAGAAAAGGAAGAAGTCAGCTTTAACCAAAATTACATATATGTTAACACAAAAATAGACAACTAGCTTCTTTACCCCCCCCCGACTTATGTACCCTATCAATCCAACTTCTTCATCTCACACCAATAGAGCACTGCGAATGTCCTATTGCCTGACCAATTTAATAACTATAATACCAAAAATTAGAGAAATCAGTCTGTATAATTTTTAAAGTTACAAAAAAATAATACGGTGATATTTTATGGGGAAAAAAATCACAACACTTTTTCTATTACCTGCATATTTTTCTCTGACAGATTCATCCATAGACCAGAAACAATGATCATAAGCAAATACCTGTTAAAATATTTAAATAACCATGTACATTAAAAACAAAGTTTTAAGATTATTTATAATGCTATAGCAATGTAATAACATTAATCTTATTGTTCATTAATAGTGAAATAGAAACGATTTACTGTATTACAATGAGGATTAGTTACATTATTTACAGCAGCAGGTTTACAACAGACAACTAAGTACCCTATTCATGATAAAGATCTATATTTCACACGGAAAACTACTTGTTATGCTAAATGAAAAAAAGGAGGCTATAGGACAATATGTATAATATGATGACAACCATTAGTGATATTTGTTTTGTTCTTATATGTTTATGTATTTTGCATATTTTTTACTATTATTATTTACTTTTACTGTTGTTTATTGTTAGCTGCCTTTGAGTCAATTCCAATTCATGGTGACCCAGGTGTGTACAGAGTACTTCATAGGGTTTTCAAGGCTTTGACTTTCAGAAGCAGACTGACAGGGCTTGTTTTCCAAAGTTCTTTATGCACGTTCAAACCTCCAATCTTTGGTGAACTGTAGAGCACTTAACTATTTGTACCTCTCAGGGACTCTTAGAAAAAGGTATTTCTTAAAGAAAAAAATTTAAAGATGCTCAGTACAGCAATGTTGAAGTAGCTGTAAAACACCAGATTACTTAAATTATAACACAGCATACATGCAAATGTGAACGCTAATGAAAAAGGTATGCAAGTCTAGATTGCTGTTGTTGTTGTTAAGTATCCAACCCATAGTGACCCTGTATAGGATTTCCGAGGAGCAGCTGGTGGGTTTGAACCACCGACCTTGTGGTTCAAACTGACCTTGTGGTCCAGTGCATTATCCTGCTGTGCCACAAAAATCTGTATGTCTAAAAAGAGGAAGGATATGCACTTAAAATACCGATGGTAGTTATTTAGTGGGATAGCACAGTGGCTTCTGTTTTGATCTTTTGCCTTATCACTACTTTCTGCAGTATGTACATATTTCTTTTATAAGCTTTTAAAAGTACTTCATCGATCTTATTACTGGACTGCTAACCAAAAGGGTGCCAGTTCAAAATCTCAAGCCGGAGAAATGAAGTTTTCTGCTCCCGTAAAGACTTACAAACTTGAAAATCTTATGCTCCTGTTGTTAAGTGCCGTTGACTCAGTTCCAACTCAATGCAACCCTGTATAGGGCTTCCAAGTAATGGCTGGGGGGTCTGAACCATTGACATGTGGTTAGCATCCAGTGTTTATCCTACAGCACCACACCAGAACTCTTGGAAACCCTATGGTGGTGGTAGTGGTGGTATGTTGTGGAGTCAGTTCCGACTCATAGCGACCTGCCTAGGGTTTCCAAGGCTATGAATCTTTATTGGAGAAGGAAGTCATATCTTTCTCCAATGGAACAACTGGTAGATTCGAACTACCGATTTGAGGTTTGCAGCACGACTCATAAGCACTATGCTACCAGAGCTCCTTTTGAAACCCTATACAGGGTTACTATTAATTAAATCAACTCGATGGCAGTGGGGCTGGGTTTGGTTTAACGCTTTTATATCCACCAACTGATGTTTTATAATGTCATAATGCCTGTTTTACCATGTACGGTACTAATTCATTTGTATTTTGAAAGATTTGACTCACTTTCAATTGTATCTTAATTTCTTTAAAATTTATTTCAGTTTGTTAGGGATTTACTATGCTTCCTGATGACAGTTTTTCTTCCATGGCTTTATATGTTAGTGGGCAAACTCATCTCAATTGGAAAGTTGTTATTGTATGGTTTATGAGATTGCTTATTTTTCCCTCTCCCATGGCCTACTACTTTACAGGAAAATTTATGCTTCCAGTTACTAAAGCCCACAATGAAGTCTTCTGAAAGTCCAATATTTCTGTTCCTTCCTGTTGGCCATAGCCCTTTTTTAGCCCTCCATTTGTGGAAAAGCCCCACCCCAAGTCATTTTCACAGGGCTCCAGCCCTCACCACGCATGAGAGTTCTCATTAATCTGCGAGAGTTGACTTCCAGTCACCTCAGAGAGCTGTACCTTGCCTGTGTCTGCCCCCAAACCCCGTAACTATGCTGCTTCAGCCCTGGACATTGCTGGCCCCTGATATTGTATATTTTGTTTTTGAGACAATACCATGATTTTAATATTTTAAAACAGTTCATCTGACCCTGCTATAAGTTTGGGATTAAAAGGATAATTTTTCTGTTTGAACTCATAAGGCCACCTGGAACAGAAGTCTAAAAGTTAATATTTTTAAGAAAGGAAATTAGATTAAGAAAGTAAATTAGTATGCATGCCTACTATCTCCCTTCTACCTGAAATTAACTCAAAATGTCAGTGGGAAAAGAAAAGCAGAAAGGGAGAAGTGGAACAAATGTTTGAAAGCAAGAATGCTTACTTTCATTGGATCAAAAACAGAAATCCCTGGAAAACAGATGTCATGAGGTTGACAGGATAGGGGGGTAGTGGTGATCTGGGAGGAATTGGAAGTGGGTGAACCACTGACCAAAACAGCTGAAGGAGACTCAGCAAAGGACAAGAGCAGTTTTAGGGAATGTACCAGGAGAGGACCCTGGGGGCAACCAACAGGATGACTGGTTAAAAACAGATTTAAAATGGGTAAACTTCTGAACACCATATCTTTCAACAAATCAAGTCAGGAGAAGCATGTGTTCCCTAGGAAGGGGCATTGAGTGTGGGAACCAAGGCAGAGAGACAACAGAAGGCCAACGGCTGGCGACACCCAAGAAGAGGCAAGAATCCTTGAGCCAAAAAGATAATTCACTCAACTGGATTGCATGTTGTACATTACTAATGTTCAACATATTTTCAAAGCTATACGTATGTCTATCAATAACAGTGGCTTAAGTCTACCTTGAACATTATGTACTTACGAACTGTCTATAAGGGATTCAACTGATCACAACTTGAAATATTAGACAGGAACCCTGGGAGCAGTGAATTTATATTAACTGGGGAGAACACCTCAGAAAAGGAGTGTGAGAATAGTTGTAAAACTGTAAGTATGCAACAATATCACTGAATTGTACATGAAGAGACAGTCAGATTAGTGCATGTTTGTGTGTATACTCTCAACAACAATAAAATCAATTAAAAAAAAAAAAAGTAGGGGGACTTCACTGCCACCAAGAACAACACACAGGAAAAGAGCATGTTTCCTGTGCTGAGGATCCCCTAGACTCCAGAAACAGAAGCAAGATAGCTTGAGTGCATGTGGGCAGGAGGCTTCCTGGCAGAGATGGGTGCCTCTGGGTACTTATCAGAGGAATTAAAGTACTTTGGAACTCTTCCCAAGTAGGGCAGAGGCCAGTCCAAGGGGCCCAGGCCAATCCAAGGGAGAGTCCTGCTAATGAGCTGTCCTGACTAAAGAAATGCATCTGAAGTAACTCCTGATTTGTAAGCTATTATGTCCCTAATAAAGTCCGTAATCATGATTATGGTCTGAGAGTCCTGTGTAGCCATTATAACAAATTACAGAACTCAGAAAAGAGGAGAGCACCGTGGAAGAACAGCTGGTGTCAGAATTGTTAATAAGGTCGGAGAGAGGGGGAATGTCTGACTTCTGCCTCACAGAAATCAACCTTGGGTTGTTGATCTTGATTCTCTTTCCTCCTTCTAAAGTTAAAAGATGTTAGGCACCCCACCATTGCTCCATCTCTCCACCAGAATGAGCAATTTATTTTAATTTAGAAGTGTATTGCTGTTGTTATGTGCTGTTGAGTCAGTTCTGATCCAAAGCAACCATGTATATAGGGTTTCCCAGGAGCAGCTGGTGGGCTTGAACTGCCAACCTTGCAATTCAAATAGACTTTGTGCCACACCAGGGCCTCCAAAAGTGTACAGACAAGGCAAAAAAGTGGCTTTTATACCAATCACATAGGCAATCCCTTCAACATATTTAAAATAAAAATAAAATAAAAGATATGTAATGCATGTGCATTAAAAAAAAAAAAAACGATAAAAGTTAAAAATAAAACTTCTGCTGCCTTTTAGGCAACTTAAAGGGAAATGCATAGAAAAGTATGTGTGAAGTGAAGTGCCATTGAGTCAGTTCAGACCCACAGCGACCCTGTATAGGGTTTTCGAGGAGCAGCTGGTGAGCTGCAACCTACAACACCTTGCAGTTCAAATGGCTTTGCAGTCTGACTCATTAACCCACAGTACCACATCAGGACTAACAATTAGATATTCATTTTTGATAATTCCTTCATAGTTTTAATAACAAATACATAAAGGTAAGGATAAAAGTATATTATAGGGTACATGAAACAAAGATTAATTAGTGTTAACATCAACAAAAAAGGGGGGATAAGTAGTATAAATATAGACTGTCTTATACATTACTGAAGTTAAATTGGTACCAACGTATCCTAATATATTATATATACAAACTCTTAAAATGTAATATCTATGGTAATCCCTAAGAAAATAAACAAAACACATACACACAATGCAAAGGAGGAGGAAACAAAAAAGGTCCACTACAATAAAACAACAAAACGTAAAAGTAAGCAGTACTAAAGAACAAAGACAAAGAAGGCTTAGGACATGTAAAACACAAAACAACAAAGTATCAGAAATAAGATACTTCTTTATCAGTAATTACAGTGAATTTAAATAGACTAAATCCTTTAATCAAAAGACAGAGGGTAGAAGAATAGATTTTAAAAACATGATGCAACTATATGACACACTCATGGAAGCAGCAGTCAATTCAATGAACTATCCTATTAGGCAAATCTGCTGCACAAGACCTCTTTAAAGTATTCACAATCAAAGATGTCAATTTGAGAACTAAGGTGCATTCATGATCCAAGACATAGTATTTTCTTTAGCCTCATATACATGTGAAAGTTGGGCAATGAACAAGGAAAATCATAGAAAAATCAATGCATTTGAAATATGGTGTTGGAGAAGAATATTAAAAGCATAATGGACAGCCAGAAGAACAAACAAATCTGTCTTAAAAGAAATATAGCCAAAATGTTTCTTAAA